CCGTTTACACTGAAACAAATCTGCGTATCACCATATCAGAAACGATCTGCGTTCACACACATCGTTTCTGTGTGTCCGCAAGCCTTCCCTATCCACACAGCTTTTGAGCATATCTGTTTACATTTTACAGAAACTAAACTATACTCGCTATTGTGCGCTGATGTTGGTTCAGCTTCTGTCGGACTAAAGGACACGACTCAGTGGAATATGAGTGTTCTTTCTGTGACAGAGGGGTGTTCTGCTGATGGTGAGTCTGTTCTGTGCTTCTGTCTCATTGGAGATGGTTCATGTTAAACTTTTCAGAGATTATACATCTGTAGGTCGTACGCATAGATGGTATATATGAATATATAGACTCTTAGCATTTTGGCGGTGAATTACTTCATGGCACATCGAACTACATTGGAGTATCAGCGTTTTCAGGTGTCCACACAGTGCCGGATCAGATCTGTACTCAGATGAATTCGTGGGAGCTGGCGGCACCAGATCATTCCGTCTCTGGAGCCATTTTCCATCGGATTATTGTCAACGAACACTGCATCCACAACGAAAACAACTCGAATATGAACTAGTGTGAACTCGTCTGGTGTAATAATAGATGTGTTTTGTGGAGTGGGTAAGACTGTTTTTAATGAAGGACCATTGACATGCACTAGTCTAGCACCAGCGACCTCTGCAAATACAAGGACTGGATGGAATATTTTTTTTTAAAAGTGTCTCCACATGTCTCCAACATTCTGACTCACTAGGAAATGAAGCCCTATGTCCAAAATTCTGGACTGTCCCTTTAAAGCCCCACCATGTGGCTTTTTTGCCTAAAAATTTACTAAAATAAGTTACTGACTTATTTGGCCTGGAGGATGTAAAGTTTATTCGTATAGCACAATTTGTACACCGAGTAAGAAAGACACGGCTCCTCCTGCTTGTCTCCATGGAGATGTTGTTCCTTCAGCTATAATATTCCACAGTATTGTAGAAAACGTATCTATCTCCACGGAGAATGTACCTGAAATAAAAATCAACCCAATTACAGTAAGAAAAGTAACAAAAGTACTTGTCATTTGTTGCTTTGTGCCTCTGCAAATGACTTGTGTTTCTGCTCTACTTTTTCGAGTCTGGAGCAGCCCATCAGCGGCTGACCAGCACCCTGCTCCTGACAGGCCCCGAGGCTCTGAAGAATGGGTCAGTGCAGTGAACAAAATATCCCTGAAGGGAGCTATCCACATGGAAAACAAAAGACAATTTCTTTGTTCACGTCCAAACCCCTCTCTGTATATTAAGGTCTTGTGGGCACAGTCGTTATCACTTTCTCCCTACAGCCATAAAGTCCTGGGTTGGATTCCCGGACCACATGCAGCGATTCTACGGTTGGGTGGGTTTCATATTTGTGCTGCGGGCTTTTTCAGGGTCCTATATTACGCAGAATGTACTCTTGTGAGCTTTAAGACATGTTATAATGTTGTTAACTCATTGAAAATATATCTGGAGTTGTGTCAGAGTTAACATTCAGCACTTAATCAACATCAGTCAACAAAATACACAAACAGCTGAATTAATTCTGCCACTTGCAAGGAGGAGAGGAGGGAGGTCTCCACTGATCTAATCATGTTCCTGTTTGTAGCCCCTCTCTCCGTCTCTCCCTTGGTGTCAGCTTTTATTCATTTATCACACCCACAGTTACGCAGTCACATGATATGCACAATCGTATAGGTCAAGGCAAGGCAAGGCAAGGCAAGTTTATTTGTATAGCACAATTCGTACACAAAGTAATTCAAAGTGCTTTACAGAATAAGAAATACATTAAAAATCATAATAAAAACATAAATAATCATGAAGATTAAAATTAAAAAAGAGAGACATAAATTGGAGAGAAGAGTGCGGAATGAAAACCTTTCAGTTATATGCACAGTTAAACAGAAATGTTTTGAGTCTGGATTTAAACAGCGTCACAGAAGAGTCTGTCTCACATGTTCAGGAAGACTGTTCCAGGTTTTAGCTGCATGAACCTGAAACTCTGACTCCCCTTGTTTAGTCGTGACTCTGGGCACCAGCAGGAGGCCGGTCCCTGAGGTCCTCAGAGTGCGAGATGGTTCATATGACACTAACATGTCACAGATGGACTTTGGTGCTCGGCCATGGAGAGACTTGTACACAAGCAGAGCTGCTTTAAAGTCTATTCTCTGAGCCACAGGAGCCAGTGCAGAGACCTGAGCACAGGACTTATGTGCTCGTACTTCCTAGTTCGAGTAAGGACCCGAGCTGCAGCATTCTGGATGTTCTGCAGCGTCTCACAGCTCGTTTAGAGAGACCAGTGAGCAGACCATTACAGTAGTCTAACCTACTGGAGACAAATGCATGGATAAGTTTCTCCAAGTCTGATTTAGACAGTAAACCTTTGATTTTTGCTATGTTTTTTAGATGGTAAAAGGCTGCAGATGTTATTGATTTTATGTGACTGTTAAAGTTCAAGTCTGAGTCCATTATTACCCCTAGATTTCTTTGCCTGATTTGAAGGTTTTAGAGAGAGAGACTGGAGGTGACTGCTGACACTGTCCTTTGTTTCTGTGGACCAAACACTATGACTTCAGTCTTGTCAGAGTTTAGCTGGAGAAAGTTGTTTTTGCATCCACACACTGATCTGTTGGATGCAGTGACCAAGTGAGTCCACTGGTCCATAGTCTCCTGCTGCCAGAGAGACGTAGATCTGAGTCTCATCTGCATAATTGTGGTACGACACGTTATTGCTGCTTAATTAACTGGCCTAATGGCAGCATGTAGAGATTGAACAACAGGGGGCCCAGGATTGACCCCTGAGGCACCCCACAGGTCAGGGCCATGTCATCTGAGACACAGTTTCCAATTTCAACAAAATACTTCCTGTCTTCTAGATAGGACTTGAACCAGTTTAGTACAGTACCAGAGATGCCCACCCAGTCCTCTAGTCTCTGTAAGAGGATCCCATGATCGACAGTGTCAAAAGCAGCACTCAGATCTAACAGGATCAAGACTGAGACTTTGCCTGCATCAGTGTTCAGGCGGATGTCATGTCACCTTGATAAGAGCAGTCTCAGTGCTGTGGTGGATCTAAAACCTGACTGGAAAACATCAAAAGAAGTTGTTCATTTTGGAGAAAGTTCGTAAGCTGTTGGTAAACAGCTTTTTCAAGGACTTTGCCAAAAAACGGCAGATTTGAGATGGGTCTGAAATTGTTCAGTACTGTGGCATCAAGACTGCTCTTCTTTAGGAGAGGCTTAATGACCGCAGTTTTCAACGCATTTGGGAATGTTCCAGATTGAAGTGACATGTTAACTATGTGAGTGAGTGGTGAAAAGTAAACTGTTGAGGACGGACTTTAGAAATCTAGTGGGTAACATGTCCAGGCAGCAAGTAGATGAAACTCAGACTGGTAACGATCTCTAAAACAGTTTTGTCAGTTACAGGTGCAAGTGTTCAGCTCTAAGTGTCTCTGTGGCTGCATGCTTGTTATTGTGTTGTGGAATTGATGGCATTTTTGATGCCCTGAACTTTGTCATTAAAGAAAACTGCAAACTCATTACATTTAGATGTGGAAATTACTTCTAGGTCAAAAGGGTATGCTATGTCTAACATTTGTACAGCGTTACCTTCATGCAGTCTAGTTTTAATTTTAGTTTTATTTATTTCAAAGGGTCAATGCATATTCATGAACATATACTTAAATAAATACGCCAGAATTAGCCCGAAGGCGACAAAATGTGTCACAATAGACAAACACACAAGCATGACATACAACACTGACATTTACATAGGAGCATAACATTAGTGGTTATAGATCAGGTTTCAGATTAGTTTTGAATGAACTGAAAGTGGTGGAGGCTCTTATAGCAGCTGGGATGCTGTTCCAGATTTCTGTGCCTGTTACGACCCAGCTCGTTTGGGTAAGGGAAGTAACAAAATTAAAACCAAGATGTAAAATAGAATAAATTAAATAATGTTTAATTAACAGGAATGTAAAGGTAAATTAACAAGACAGACTAAAATATACAGAAAACAACCTAAACTAAGAAACAGAACAACAGAATAAACAGAGTTTTGTCAGGCTTACAAAAAAACGAGTGGTAAAACTTAGGGACACACACTAAACTAAAACAGTTCCCCAAATTAAACCACATAAACCCACAAACAGAATCGAGTGACCAAATCAAAAAAGGCACAAAACAGAACTAAACTAAACTACACACACAAAACACAAAATGGCAGACTGGCCACCAAGGCCAGCAGCCCCGAGCAGGTGCTGGCAATCTCCTGAAATAGGGGGAGGTGGCTACAGGTGAGGTGGGCGTCGACCTGCCCCACCAATCATGGACAAGGGCTCCTGCAGCAGGAATCCAGGTGTGTCAGACTTATGTAGAACACACAGAACAAATGACAATCTAAGGCCTGGGCCCATAACAGTGCCCCTGACTGATAACTCCTGCTGACTGAAAGTTGTGCGTCTATAGTGTTTTGCACAGTCGCCTCTGGTGGACGTTCTTGTTCCCCGACCACTAGTGCTGGACTTGGGCTTAATGAACTCACCCAGAGGAGGTGGAGCGAGTCCATCTGAGACCTTGTAGACTAAGCAGGTGAGTTTAAATTTTTGAAAATTTCCAAAGCTTAAGATATTATACTTCTGTAGTATGAGACAATGATGAAAAGATAAAGATTTGCTGTCAAATATTTTTAACGCTTCTTTAAAAAGTGATTCTATTATTTTTAAGGTTGTCATGCTTGTCAGTGACCAGTTAGTAATACAGTGTTCAATGTGAGAGAAAATCATGCTGTGGAGAAACATTTTAGCTGCATTTTCTGGCAGTGATGATCTAATCTCACTCACTCTCTCACTGAATCACACTTCAACATTTAGACAGTTCCTGTTTTACAGCAGAAGCTCCTAACAATAACACTGTTGAGCATAACATTTGTTTCAGCTTTGATAACATTAATAGCATATATATACATTTTATTCTGACAAGCTGTAGTCCAATGAGGTTTGTTTGGTCTTCCGATAATTTATGTTATTGGATTCTTTTTTGTTTTCATACCTGACAGTTTCGACTGCTCACTAGCGTCTTCCTCAGACTCACGTGATGTTGCTGTGATGTGTCCAATCAGTTGATTTTTACAGGTTTTGGTGCTGTCTTGTTACCGGTGGAGGCAGGTCGACAGCGCCACCTGCAGTCTGATTTCCTCAGGTGTGTGAGAGTAAAAAAAGCCCCCTCGTCCTGGTTTATCGTCCCGTGGGCACGTCTCCAGATTCCGATTGCCTCTTTAATCCAGCGATGATGTTTGTTTTCCTCTGTCCCAACGATGTTTTGATAGGAAGACAGCGCCAAAACCTGAATAAGTCAGCTGCCCAGAAACGTCACAGCAACATCACCTGACTCTGAGGAAGACCGCAGGGAGCAGTCGAAACTGTCAGGTATGAAAACAAGCTCTTCGTCTGAAAAAACAAACAAACGTAATAACAAATACCTGAAGTGCTCAAAATGCTCTGTTCAACCTTGTGATGCCATGTAAGTTACCTTTTACCTTTCATTGAGTAGCGATGGGAAAATCCAAATCTGAAATCATCTAAATGATTCTAATAAAGATGTATAAAGTTTAAAAACACACAGTGGAGTAGGGATATAACAATAACTGAAACATCGTGATATCGTTTCGTCAAAAGTCTTGCAATAATATCGTGGGCTGTCACTATATATCGAATCACAAGTACCTTAAAGCTTAAATGTGTTGTTTTACAGTAGCAAGAGCTTATAAACATCGGTAACTACATTTCCCATGATTCATTTCAGTGTAAACAACATGAAGAAATATGTTTTTTACTTGAATTCTTGGGATTATGATGGAAATTATTCGCACCAAAATCTTGTCAAGGCATTTTTAAAGCAAAAAAGTTTTCTATCTACCGTATTTTCTGGGCTATTGGGCATACTCTTAAGCCTCCAAAGCCATCAAAAAACGACTCAGATGTACCAGCACAATCCGTGTATCATTCGTTCATTCGTTTTTCAATATAAAACCAAAAAATAAGAAAACGAAAAAACAACAGTTTTCTTCGCTATTTGTCTCCAAAACCAAAATGAAAAAATGGATAACGATTCGTTTTTTCAGTTTTCGATTTTGTGTTTTAAATTAAGAATGGAAAAAAATGGATAACGGCCGTTTCCCGTT